CATCAAAGAATACACACTGGGGAGAAACCTTACAGTTGTACAGATTGTGGAAAACAGTTTCATGCAAATACTTACTTAAAACAACATCAAAGAACACACATTGGGGAGAAACCTTACAGTTGTACAGTGTGTGGAAAACAGTTTAGTACAGATAGTTGCTTAAAAATGCATCAAAGAAGACACACTGGGGAGAAACCTTACAGTTGTACAGTGTGTGGAAAACAGTTTGGAACAAAGGGTGAATTAAAAATACATGAAAGAATACACACTGGGGAGAAACCTTACAGTTGTACAGTGTGTGGAAAACAGTTTGGTACAAATGGTGATTTAAATAAACATCACAGAATACACACTGGTGAGAAACCTTATAGTTGTACAGTGTGTGGAAAAACCTTTCGTACAAATAGTGCCTTAAAAACACATCAAAGTATACACATTGAGGAAAAATCTTACAGTTGTGTAGTTTGTGAGAAACAATTTAGAACAAACAGTGCATTGAAAATACATCAAAGAACACACACTGGGGAGAAACCTTACAGTTGTGTAGTGTGTGCTAAACAATTTATATCAAGCTGTAACTTAGAACAACATCAAAGAATACACACTGGTGAGAAACCTTACAGTTGTACAGTGTGTGGTAAACAGTTTATAACAAATGGTAACTTAAAATACCATGAAAGAATACACACTGGGTAAGAAAAACCTTACAGTTGTGCAGTTTGTGAAAAACGCTGGAGCAAATAGTACTTTAAAAATACATAAAAGAAAATGTTCTGGAAAGGAATCTTACACTTGTACAGTGGGTTGACAATACTTTCATACAAATGGTACCTTTAAAACACATCAAAGAAGCACTGGGGAGAAATCTTACATTTGTGGAGTTTGGGGAAAAGAATTTGGAACAAACGGTGAATTGAAAATACATGAAATAGCGCATACTACTGAGAAACCTTTCAGTTGTATAGTGTGTGTAAAATAGTTTGTATCAATCTGTAACTTATAAAAACATCAAATAGCACACACTTGGAAAACCTTAGTTATCAAGTTAGTGAAAAACAATTTGTAAAACGTAGTTACTTAAAAAGAAAAAATAAAAGATTATACATTGTGTAAAAACCTTACAGCTGTGGAGTTTGTGGAAAACAAGTTGTTACTATAGCTTAAATCTACCTTGGAAAATGCACATCTGGGAGAAACCTTACATTTTTGTAAGCCCCCACCCCACCCGATTAGTAAGTATGAGGTTTTAACAATGGTAAAAATTTGGTTTTGTTAAGAGTGGTTCCCACAGCACAGGTTGGGTATGGTTTTGTTTTCTAACATATTGTATAACATTAAAGGACAACAAAGAACCACTTGGTTTATCTAGGCTGTCCTGTTCACTAAGTTAAACCCTAAAAAACAAAAAAAAATAACTGATAGCCAGTCTTTACGATTAAAATATTTATCAAGCTTTTACTTAATCTCCTTTAAACTAACGGCATCCACCACATCTGAAGGCAATGTGTTACAAAGTCCAATCACCCTTTTAGAAAATAAAACTGTCTTAGCTGAAGATGATTACTGGAATTTGTACTTGGATTCCCTAGTCCTAGCATTCTTATCATGAAAAGGGAGGATACACCAACCCAATTAATTCACTTAATCCTAAACAACTGTAAGTTAATATTATAGTGAAGTATTCAGAAGTATGAATGTGGAGCAGTTGTTGATTAAGTATTTGTTGTTTTGAGCTAGCATTGAGTTATTTAGTTTCAGTGAAATATTTGGATCATTTTCAGTTATCATGTATAATAAGTTACTCTCTTGATTAGCCATGAAATTGTACAAATTTATCTTTAAGTTAGTCATAATACTGTTAGTGAGGAAATTATCTTTCACTAAGTCGTATGTGGACTTTGACTTACAAGTTACAATAATGTACAAACTTGTAGAAACGTTAAGGAAGAAACTTGTTATCATTACATGGACTAATCTTCAAATTATTTTCACCAAATAATTCAGAAGAATCCACCAACAAAAAAAGAACAACATTGTTATTCATTTTAGATTCCTTCCTTTATATCTTTTATTTCATTCTAGTGTCAAAATTATTAGTTTACAGGAGCTGAGATGTAGTCGTATTTTCCCTTAAATATGTATTATTTATAAAATAACTGAGTACATGAGAAAGAATGTACCTAGAAGTTAGCTTTTGTCCTTTTTTAAATAAATTAATGTATTACAACCTAAGAATTAGGCTTGACCTGTTCTGGTGGATAGGACATTCAATTCGCAATCTGTGTGTTGTGGGCTCGAATCCAATCACCAAACATGATCCCCTATCAGCCAAGGTGGTATTATAATATAATGGCAAACTCTACTATTCATTGGTTAAAGAATAAGTCATTGGTGTTGTTGACTAACTACTTTATTTGTACTGAAAGTAGCTGTCAAGCAGTTCTTCGGATTCAGTGAAGAAACAAACCTAAAATTTAAATATACATTGGTTTGGATTCTGTTGTCAAGGTAGTTTTCGAGTTTAATCCTTGAAAGTAAAAAAAAAAAAAAACAGGATATATTTGCAGTTTTTTTAGTGTTTATGAAATATGTAAATTGCTATATTGCATGTATATTTCTTTTACATTTAAATATCTTGTATAGAACCTTGAGTAGCAAAGATAGTAAATTCCTGACATCATTATACAATTTGTTCATCCATCTTGAAAACTGATTAGAAACAAACAAGAAAAGTTGTAGTTGATATGTGTGTGAAATTTGCATATTGGTGAGAAGTATCATTTAATGTTCAATTTTAGAGAAAACTGATTAACTAAATTTTAGATAAGTTATCAAATTTATTCCGTAGCTTTTCTTGATGTTCAAGGCAAGTGTTTTTCATTAAAGCTTAACTTGTATTTTTTTAGTTTTACGTGTTTTTTTAAGATGCAAATTTATAATTTAGGTATTTTATTTTCTTCCCAATATGGTTACCTCAGATATTGTATCATTATTTACTTTAGTCCATGTAAAAGATGCCATTGGCTGTTTTAAAGATAAGTTAATTCAGAATTACATTTCTCCAGTTGAAATTGGAGATATCGTAAACTTGACGAAAAGTTGTATTATGTCTCCCTTTTCCTAAGTGAATAATAAATTCTATTCTCAAGTTTGAGTATTATAACCTATGGGACAGGGTTCCCATGGTCCATGAAAACCTTTAAAGGTACTTGGCAATCTTTTAAATTTCTTCACAGAGTGCAAAAATTTATTTTAGGGAGATTCTGGTGATTACATTTTGAAAGCTATGTGTTCCTGCAACCCTGCCCTGTTTCCTGCCACATAGCACATTTTAGGGGAACATTATTATAATAGAATACTAGTATAATGTGAATTGGCCAATTAGGTGAGTTCTCTCATCTATCATTCAATGCTAGAATCGAAAATGCAAATAGTGAAAATGTTTACATAGTGTGCATTGGAGTGTTTCAATGACTTGTCATGTCCAAGAAATGTGAATTGGAGTGTTTCAATGACTTATCATGTCCAGGAAGTGTGAGTTCCAGGATATCTGGCTTGACAAAGAGCAGTACAAAGGATGATTATTAAAATATTTGAGTGATACTCATTCAGCATGGTGTAAAGCCTGTTGAAGTTTCAAGCTAGAAAGCATGGGTGAATCGGCTCTTGCCAGACATTGCACAACAATGAAGAATCAAACTGCAGGTAGACAATTAGATTTCCCAAATTTTGCATGACACTTTTAAAGTGTTTTGAATACACTTTTCTTTTTTTGTAATAAAGAATATGTGCTTGGCAACCTGGAAATTTTAAGAATTAGGCCTAGTGCTGGAGTGAATGTGTATGCCTAATCTAGATTTAATGCTAGGCCTATCATGCAGGCCTAATGTTAAAATATTAGTTATGCATAGATCTATATGAAAATAAAAATTGTAAATATAGGCTTCAATCAATACAGAGAAGACATAAATATTCAATATTTTTCAAAACTTCCCACGTGACACATTACTGTGCAAAGATGTATTTCAAATGGGTAAAGCCCCTATTGTTGCATAATTCCAATTGCCGATCATGTTTTGATATATGCACTCTCCCTACATATAAATTTTAGGGAACAGCTCATTTACATATTATTCAATCCTTAATTAAGTTTGAGATTAGATAGCCCTAGTAACTGTTTCACATTAGATTTTTAGCCTTGTCAATACAGCTTCATGTAAATCTAAGCTACTAGCCTACGAAATGTTTGCATTGTGACTGGTCTTTATTATATATGTTTAATAAAACTATATTTACACACACACACACTGCAAGTTGATAGGCTCACAATGCATTGGCAGGTTTTTCACACACAATAATTTTTTCCCCCCACAGCTTACTCGGTTTTTGGATTCATGGTTCCAGCTATCACAGTCCTCGTACCTCTGCCAAATGAAGACACTCTCAAGGCTGAGGTTATATGGTATCTGGAAATGGATGCCCATTATTCCTTCAAATCAAGTGAAGAAACTGGTATGTGAATAGTAGTCCTGCATGCTATAGTGATGTCCTTTCCTTGTTCAGCTATGCAGAATGCTTTTGTAAAGGTTGACTGGTTGAATATATATTTCTTGTGTTAATTTACATATATCTTTATTATAAATAGTAATGTTACTGATTAGTTACAGTTGTATGAAATAAGTTATTTTACTAATTTATTTTGGTAAATTCTTGTTAAGAAAGTGTATTCGTGTATTAGTTCTAAATGTAATCTTCTAATGTTATAATCATCCTACATTTGGTAATGTTGCTTCTTCTAAGTTTTCAGGTGATCTTTTCTCAAGAATGTTTCTTGATAGTAGCATTGGTAGGACTTTCATTTGTAGGGAAACTAAGAGTTTACATTTGGTTTGGCACCATATTTCAAACAGTTGCAATCAAAGAAACTAATAACATGAAAGGATGACTGTGTCCTGCTCTTTGATGAAAGCATGAGGATCTCAAGACAACATATTAGAAGTGCACTGATGTGCTACCAAAACCCAAGATGTTACAGATTTCTGTGGATGGGCCAAATGTTAACTGGTCATTTTACTCAAATGTTGAACAGTCCCTTTGTAATGACCATGGTGTACATATCATCAACATTGGCAGTCGTGGTCTACATATAGTGCATGGTACATTCCAGAATGGAAGTAACCGAGTCAGAGTGGCATGTTGACAGTTTGCTCTGTGCATTACACCACCTATTGAAAGACAGTCTGCACATCAGGTAGTTTATTTGAAAGATATTGGTTGACAGGACCACCCTCATGCCACTAAACTACTGCAAAACAAAGATGAGTAGAAAACAGACCAGTGCTGGAAAAGGCCTTGGAGGTCTTGCCCAACATGGCAACATATGTAAAAGCAGTTAGAGAAGAAATATCTAAATTCAGATATCAAATCCTTTGAAGTCATCATCAAGCCAGCAAGGACGTGACACCATTCATGACTCGATACCAGTCAGATAAGTTCATGGTTCCATTTCTAGGCACAGACTTGTTCAAGTTCTTCAAGAAACTGATGAACAGGTTCATGAAGCCAGGCTTAATGGAAAAAGTCAAGTCTGTTGACAAATTTTTTTATGTCAAAGTGGATAAAATATCACATCACCTTGATTATATAAAAGTTGATCTGGGATATGTTGCAGAGAGAATCGTGAAGGATTTGGCTGCAGAGAAGAAAGTTGGGCAATGGAGTATTCTGGAGCTCAGAACGAACAGCAAAAACGTGTTTGCTGGCCATTGTTGAGAAATTACTGCAGAAGTCACTTTAGAAATATTACCTAGTGTCCAATCTTTCATTCCTGGATCCGTTACGTTATGGATGAGCACTGGTCAGTGATAAGAACTGTGATGATATCTTTCATCAGTATTCACAGTTTATGATATTGTTTAGAGCAATAGGTATGTTTTTTATTTCATTAAAATATTAACATTAAGTTTTAATATTGAAATTCATATAGGAATGGTCTGTATGTAGCTGTATCTTCCCTATATTTTTGTTTGCATTATATTTGGCACTGCCATCCCTACATCATTTGCCATTTACAAAAGTTTTTTTTTACTTGTTTTGTGTGTCATTTTTTTTTACCTGACAGAAAGTTAGTGTATTCTATGAATGTGTTTAATAAAATTTAATATGTGGATTAATTTTTTTTTACTTCAATTCATACATAATATAGGGGTTGGCTCCTTAAAGACACCAATTATATAGTATACAAAGCATTGAGTATTCTACATGTTAGTCATTTAAATTTTATCTATTATTGGCTGGTACTTCCCATTTCACTCCTATTTAAACTTTTTATAACAGATTTCTATAAAAATCTTCAAGGGGTAACGATAACTTCATTTACAATAGAGTTGTGATTTTTGTTTTTAATTACTATAGTTATTATAAGTAAGAGATGACATTGTGTACTGCCCAGCAACACAGAGTGAATTTAGGTTTAAATTGATGTTAGTGATAAAGTAGTTGTAGAGTTATATGGACTGAAACAAGAAAAAGAAAGATGAACAGTTTGTTGGTCACTTTCTGGTTGGTATCTTGGTGACAGTTTCTTGCCTTGTAGGGTAGAGAAACAAATGAAAGTGAGTGGCAATCATTTTTTAAAGTAAAACTTTTTATCATTGTTGATTTTTTAGTGTGAATATTTGTGTTAAGCATGTTGAGTACCTTGACCATCTCTAATATTTATATTATGCTTATCGAGTACCTTGGCCACCGGCATAATACAAGTATTAGAGGTGGTCAAGGTACTCAACAGGCATACTACAAATATTAGAGGTGGTCAAGGTACTCAATAGGCATAATACAAATATTAGAGATGGCCAAGGTACTCGATAAGCATAATACAAATATTAGATGGTCAAGGTACTCAATAGGCATAATACATATATTACAGGTGGTCAAGGTACTCAATACACAAATATTATAAATAGTCAAGGTTCTCAATAGGCATAACACAAATATTAGAGATTTATGCCTATTGAGTACCTTGGCCATCTCTAATATTTGTATTATGCCTATTGAGTACCTTGGCCATCTCTAATATTTGTATTATGCCTATTGAGTACCTT